GATAGAGATAGGTAGAGAGAGAGAGATAGATAGAGAGAGATAGAGAGAGAGAGAGAGAGAGAGAGAGAGAGAGAGTTTTTTTTTACTTCAGAATGTTTAGCGTAAGTAATCCGTAAAGCAGAGGAAAAATCATGTTACTTATTATTTTAATTTCTATAGGTTTTCAGAAAATGTAATTAAGAAAAATTCAAAAGGAAAGTTACGAGTAACATTCCCCTTTTACGAATAATTTGCCTTTTAAAAATTCAATATGCACTTTTCTTCCACATCTATGTATTCTATTTACAACAATTTACTAAATTCTCTTGCTTTCGTAGAATTCTCAAATTATTGTTATACAACTTCGGTTATACAACCTAAGCCCGTTAACAGATTAGAACATATTAGTAAATAAGAAAATATTTCACTGGAAGAAAATCGAATATTATCTGCATTTCTTACACCAATATAGTTGTAATGGTCATATTTTTCTAGAATAAATGGATTATACAACAAAACTCAGTTAGCCACGTGTGTAACCTTTCCCGAAATCCGGCCATAGTAAAAAACATGCCTTGTCATATCAGATTATAATGAATAAATAGACACCACTTCAAACGAAATCAAACATTTTAGTTCGATCTTTAAGATTCGAAAATTTCATTCTCATTTATTATTTTTTTTAGTTTAAAATGTGGAAGATTTCAATAGTCCTGGTAAGCATATTTTTTTCACCTTATTTATTTATTTATTCGTATATTTCGTGATGCGAAACAAAATTATTAAGTTTTAAAGTTTCAGCTTTATTTGTTTAATTACTAGTAATGATATTGTTTTTTAGTAAGATAAATATTTCACGAGTCGAGTCGAGTTTAACTATGAAAAAAACTTGTAGAGTGAATAAGAAGATTTTTTCATCTACTTATTTTCAATTCTGTTAACAAATTTCTTTTCCGAACTAAATTGCTTTATTTCATTTAAAATCTAGATTCTTAAAATCTTCCCCTCTGAGCCCTTTTTAAGGAAATTTTGAGATTTCGTGCCGCTTTTCGAGGGGGGGGGGATTCATGTATACAAATCTAGATAATTTAAATTTTTAAGAGTCAACTAAAATACTCTTTGTAAGTTCTTACAAAGAGCATGCTAAGTGTAGTTCGCCGCTCTTTGTAAGTTCTTACAAAGAGTATGCTAAGTGTAGTTCGCCTAGCCCTGAGTTCGCCGCTCTTTGTAAGTTCTTACAAAGAGTATGCTAAGTGTAGTTCGCCGCTTTTTGTAAATTCTTACAAATAGTATGCTAAGTGTAGTTCGCTGCTCTTTGTAAGTTCTTACAAAGAGTATGCTAAATGTAGTTCGCTGCTATGAGAGTTCGAGAATCGTGGTGGCTCAGAAAATAGAGTGTTTGCCTCCCAAGGAGGGGACACAGGTTCGAATTTCAGTGATGGCTGGTCTATATGAATTCTGCATCCGGCTTGCACGAACGACAGTGCGGAAGTAAAATATATCTAGTGATAGACGGATCATTGATTAGAGTCCCCTTGCAGTTGAGCTGACCGTGTGATGTTTTCGTAGTTTATTCTCTATGTAACGCAAATGCGGCTTAGTTCCATCAAAAAAAAAATCCTCGACGAAAGGTAGTTTCTTCCAATGCTTGATCCAGGAGTTTCTTAGTGTTCTAGGTTGTATTCAAAATTGCAAGGCTACGGAGTTGAACATTGATAGTAGTAAACTCAGAATTGGGTCTGCTGTTCAACGCTGGTTGTAAAAATAAAAAAAGATTTTTAAAAAAATCCAACATGTCTGTGAAAAAGGATTATATTGACGATATCTTACAAACTATTATCGCAATATATTAATAAATGAACATCTATTTATTTTCAAATATCCTGGTTGCTGAAGAATGTCAATTTTTTAAATTTGGACATAAGCATTTTTAATGCAATTTTAAATTAATTTTAACAGATATAAGTTAAAGATAGAAAAGTTTGTTCGGTGAGGATAAGAGGAATTCGAAATTAAATCTTATTTCAGGGAAAATGGAATAAAACCTTATCGCGCTAGACGCTATACAATGAAGCACTGTCAATTCAGTTATACTTTTTTTTAGATAAAATATTGTAAGTTATTGTGAATGTGCGCCAATTTCTGTAGCATGTTATTTTATTACGATAAGATTTCTGCTATTTATTGTTTAAATAGCAAACAACTATTTTATTTAAATTGGTTCTGGTTGCTGGTTCCAGACTTTTGAATTTATCTATCTGGAATTTGTCATTCAGATAAGTTATAGATTCAATTAATTTAGAAATACATATTGTTCTTTTACAAAACTAATAAACACGGCTTCGCGTTTTGCGTGAAAAGGTTATATATTAGCAATTACCAATTGTTTGCAAATAAAATTTTTTTTGCAAATTATCTTTGCAATTTCAAATTAACTATCGAAACTAATGTTTAATTCCTTTCTTCTTGATTGTTACAAGATGCATTGACACAGTTTAAATACTCGGAATGAAATACGGAGAATATTTCTATATTTTTTTATTTTTAATATTTTTTGGTTAAAATACAAGCAAAAAAAATTTTTGCCGTTGCTTTTTTATTGCGTGAATTTTTTTTAGAAAAACCTTGAAGCACCCGCCGTGGCATTGATTCCACAAGGTGCTGATAGGTAGTCTGAGGTATCTGGTACCAAGAGCTCACCAACTGGTCCTGCAATTCCCTCACATTGGGAGGGGGTAGCGTGGCAGCACGAATTTGGTTTTCCAAGTAGGACCACAAATGCTCTATTGGATTAAGGTCAGGTGAATTTGGGGGCCAAGACATGACTTGAAAGTCACTGGAATGTTCCTCGAACCAATCCTTGACGATTCGACCCTTATGACATGGTGCATTATCCTGTTGGTAAACACCATCCCCCGCAGGAAAAACTGTTGCCATGAATGGGTGAACCTGGTCTGCAACTATGTTCAAGTAGCTTACAAGTCAGGGATTGTTCTATGAGGATTATGGGTCCTAATGTGCCCCATGAAAACATTCTTCCTGGGCGAGAAACCATGAAAACCTCGGCGAGCCCATTGTTATAGCTGGAGGGTGGTCATAATGTAATGGCTTTTCGGTGTAAGTTTCTAAAGTTCCATAAGAAACCGAAATTGAAATACATGTTCTTAGAAGTGATATATTTACCTAGAAAATCGTATTTTAAATACTCCAATTATACATTTGAATTTTTGAAATTTTATATTGTCCCGAGAGAAGAAAATTTTTTTGTCAAAAATAAATTTTACTGTCAAAATTTCCAGAAATGAAAACGTATATTTTTCACATCACTGTCCGCTCTCTGTAATTAATTGTGAATTAATATGTATATTGAAATTGTAATGTTTACCAACACAAATGAAATTTTTCGAATCAGACACGACCAGAATTTTTTTAAATTTTGATTTTTAACCTTTTTTTTACGGTATAAACATTTTTTCACAAGACCAATGCAATATGTTGTCAAAGAAATCCAATAGTTTCGAATTCTACAAAAAAAATTCCAATTCAATATCTTTTTTAAGAAAAAATTAAAAAGATATTTTGTTTACTGTGTTATAAGGCTAGAAAGAACAAAGTCATAAAATTATTAACCATTTAATATACTGTTACTAATAAAAATAAAGTAATGAAAATAACTATGGAACTAACTTAAGTGTAAAACTACTGAAGCGAGTAAATAATCTAACTAAATGATAAATAAATAATTCAAGGTGAAATATATAAATGACAATTTCTTGCCAACTTCTCTCACTTTTAAACGGCCGATATTTCTTGAATGTTTTTATAGTAGTAACAAATGTAACTCGATACGATATGAGGTTTGATATTGTGGGGTACAGACTACCGACAATGTCAATTGTCATCTACCTGTAGGTACCTCCAGTTGAAATTGCTACGTTTTTATATACTGTGAACGGGAATTGAATGATTGTATTTAGTTGTGGATACTGTGGATAATTAAATATTATTACCCTCCTTCTGTTAACTATTTTTGTCAGTAACATCCTGATAACTGCTCATTGAGAATTTTTTTTAATGAAAAGTAATAGTTTGGTTTGGGTACGAAAACTGGCATTCACTTGATATACTGTTTAGTAATAAGTATTCATACTGTGTCTTTTTTCAGCTATCTTTGGTGGTTTTTCTTGTTGAAGGATGTAGTTATAAGACTCGTGAATGTCCTAATTATTCCATAACGACCAAACACCCTGTAAGTAATAAATCTTAATTTTATAGAGTATCATAAAATTCATTGTAGTAATTTTGATTTAAAACACGAATTTATCATTAAAAATTGCAAATTTTCTCTAAAACTGTTAGCTGCTCTTATTTATTATTTTTCTTACCTTGGTAACAGATTTTATTGCTCGAATAGCATACATTCAAACCTTGAGTGAATTTTCGGACACCCTTCAACGTCACTTTTATAATACTAACCGTTTTTGTTTTTTTTTTCCTAGTCAACCTAAGTTTCAGCTAAGTGAGATTTTGTTTTTGAAGTTTCTGATCTGGAAAATTAATATACATTTCTATTTCATATCAGGATTATGAAATTCGAAAATATTCAGCTATTACCTGGGTCTCCACAACAGCAGAGCACAGATATTTTAAAATAGCTGCATCAAGAGCTTTTTCAAAGTTGGCAGGCTATCTCAATGGAAAAAATAATCTAAGTATGTAAAATTTAAAAAAATTTTTAACCAATAACCAATAGTTATCGGAGTTTGGGTAAATCTGAAATTAAGTATCATTTTATGAAACTTACACAATTGTTATGTGTTTATGCTATAGATCTGAAAATGAATATGACTGCCCCTGTAAGAATGCGCCCAATTTACAAAGAACTGAGCACTGTCTACCAGATGGACTTCAAGATGCCCATCAAGCATGCTGCCGCTCCTCCAATGCCGAGTGAGGAAGGCATTACCTTTATATATGATGAACCAACAGTGTACGCGGTCAGGTAATTATACATATTTTATAACAGTTCTTAATTATTTGTGGATTGGACAGGTTTAACTTTTAAAGTTAAAGGGCAGAAAAGTCGAGAGTAATGGTTATACTGCGTGAGGTGCAAACGTCTTTAAGAATGTTCTTAGTAGCTCTTCGCCAAAAAAAAATAAATAATAATAATAAAATAAAATAAAAAGCCAGAGCTTGAAAGCCTTAAACTCGAATAAGGATTAAATTTTAAACTATGCCAACAATTTTTATGAAGAAAAAAACTCTTTTGATATTAAAACACATAAGTTGTTTAAATATTTTTAAAAAATTTACATAGCTACTTCACTTAGATGGCGAGATTTTTCCATCTAGAATCTTCAACACATCTTCTTTTTCGCCAACGAAAATAAACAACAATTACAGCACCTTGAACTCCAAAAAAAGCAATACTTCTTTAGAATTCTTCTCGGCATATTATGAATTCCCAGCAATATTAATGCTTCATACAGTCTAGCATTTCAATATTGTGCGTTATTAAGCAATCAATTTACCAACAAACACAAAGCACTATATTCTATTATACTATTCAGTATCACTTTTTAATATTTATATGAGCCGACCGGTCTGTGTAGGGGTTAGGGAACTGCCCTTGCATCAAAAAGGTTCTGGGTTCGAATCCCGGGCATCTAACCTAATATGGTGCCACTGAAAGAGTGGCCAACAAATCTGCCCATCAGGTGCCTGTGTGACCTAGGTCATTATCCAGGTGGGCATTGGAAAAAAATAATATTTGTATGAATGTGAAAAAATTTTGTAATTACAAAATGTGTTTAAAAATATTAGATGCATAGAAAATTTTTAATAACAACTAATCGTTATTAATGATAAAAACCCTTTATAAATTCATGAATTCGAAACTGTTCCGTAATCACCCACTATCTCACGCATAAGAAATAAAGCAGTTTGTTATTTTTACTGATAATTAATAATGTCATTATTTTAATTTGAGTATATATTGTTATACTAGGTTTTTATTATGAGTTGAGTCATAAGAATTAGATTTTTTTTACACATTTGCATTAGCTTGCAACTTCAAGTATTATTCCACTTTTTTTTTAAAGGTTTGAAAAGTATATGTTATATTTGTAAAAAATTTATCCTGGAAAAAAAAGGAGTGAATAATTACTCAGACTTAAAGAGTAAAATAACTTTTTTTAAAGAAAAATCCCTTTAGAAAGTGAAAGCTATGCATTATTATTATTTTGTGTCTATATTTTTAATTGTTTTTTGTATTACAAACCCACATGAATAGCTTCAACAATCATTCCGTCTTACTCGATTAATTTTGGATCATTAACGAAAAAAAAATTAAGGTAATAATGAAGTAGACGAAAAACGAGTTAGAAGATTAACTTCGTAAGATAATGAATGATGTCATAAAAATCGTACGAAATTCATCATTAATAAACTAATTCTCCCCAAATATCAAAATTAGGTATAGATGAATCAAACTTTTACCAATATTATTATAGTCTAGAAAGTCTAAAACAGGGGTGAGCAACCTTTTTAATCAACGGACCAGTTAAAGTTTTAAAAGGGCCTCACATAAAGTAACGCTTATTAATAATTTACAAAACTTTATTTATAATAAACATTAGAATAAGAAATATAAAATTTAAAAAAAGTAAAGATTTCATATACAAATTTCTATGCAAAATGAAAACAAACAAGAAAGGAACAATAAAACGAATTTACTTGAAATTTTCAATGAGAAATTTGGCACTGTTTTTTTTCGATACAAGCTGATCAATATCAGTCGGAATTGATGAGGTAGCTACACGTATGCATCTATCTAATCGCGCATCACTCAGTCTTGATCGGTGGTCATTTTTGATTAATTTCATGGCTGAAAATAATTGTTCGCAAACATACGTACTTCCGAACAGAGACAACATTTGCTTTGTATTTTTCGTCAAAAGCGGAAATTTCTCAGGGCTCACGTACGATTTAAAAAAATTTTCGATGTTTACTGAGAAAATACATTTTTTAAATCGGTATTATTCTGCATGTCAATCACTTCAATTTGAAAGTCTTCGAGAACTGTATCCACATCGATATTAAATGGCGAGGAAAACATTTTCATGGAAACCGCTGTCTTCTCAGCTTTGAACATTTGGAATCGTAATTGAAATTCTTTGATTAAAATGCCTATATATTGTACGTATTTTTGAGAAGTAGTAACGTTTTCTTTTTCTAAATGTGGAAAGTGAGACACATTATTTTGCAAAAGATGTTGTTTCCACAATTTTAATTTGCGCTCAAAGCCCTGAATTTTATCATACAAATTGTGAATAAACTGTCCTTTGCCTTGAAATTCCACATTAAGATCATTGAGATGCTGAGTCATGTCGATAAGAAACCCAAAATCGCACATCCATTCTTTATTACCAAAATGAGGAAAGGCATATCCCTTCATATCCACGATTCCCTTCATATTCATTTTAGCATTGCACCTCTACTAAGCCAACGTACTTCGGTATTAAAAACCACGTCGCCATATTCAGTTTCTAAATCTTTCAGGAATTCTTTAAATTCACGGTGATTGCATGTTTGAACAAGTTGTCGACAAGTGTGTATCTCGTCACAAAAAATCGCACAGACGCGGCGAGTTCGTATTGCATGTTTGAACAAGTCGCCGACAAGTGAGTAACTCGTCACAAAAAATTGTTTCGGTTTAGTATGTACTACCATTTTTAATTTTATAACAATACGATGGGAGAAAGTCGATAAAATAAATGTGGTGTTATGGAGAGGAAAGACAGTTTTTTTTTTCGATGATGGAAATAANCATTTTTCGTCAAAAGCGGAAATTTCTCAGGGCTCACATACGATTTATAAAAATTTTCGATATTTACTGAGAAAATACATTTTTTAAATCGGTATTATTCTGCATGTCAATCACTTCCATTTGAAAGTCTTCGGGAACTGTATCCACATCGATATTACATGACAAGGAAACCATTTTCATGGAAACCGCTGTCTTCTCAGCTTTGAACATTTGGAATCGTAATTGAAATTCGTTGATTAAAATGTCTATATATTGTGCGTATTTTTGAGAAGTAGAAACGTTTTCTTTTTCTAAATGTGGAAAATGAGACACATTATTCTGCAAAAGATGCTGTTTCCACAATTTTAATTTGCACTCAAAGTCCTGAATTTTATCATACAAATTCTGAATAAACTGTCCTTTGCCTTGAAGATCATTGAGATGCTGAGTCGTGTCGATACGAAACCCAAAATCGCACATCCATTCCTTATTACCAAAATGAGGAAAGGCACATCCCTTCATATCCACGAATCATAGTATTTCTCTTTTTAAGTTGTACACTCTTTTTAGCATTGCACCTCTACCAAGCCAACGTACTTCGGTATTAAGAACCACATCGCCATATTCAGTTTCGATATCTTTCAGGAATTCTTTAAATTCACTGCGATTTAATGCGCGCGACTTCATAAAATTGATTCATTTAATTATTGGTATTGTGACATTTGGCAAACTCAATCTTTTCGCACACAAATTTTCCTGGTGAATTATGCAGTGGTTAGCGAATATTTCCTTTCCTGTGACCTTCTTAATGTCTTGAAATAACCATCCCGATACTCCTACCTTCATGTTTGACATTGCTCGTGCTCCATCTGTCGATATACCAATAATCTTTTCTAATGAAATTGAAACATTTTCCAACAGAGACTTTAGTTCATCGTACATGTCTTCGCCGGTTGTAGTCCCTTGCATTGGAATCAGTGAACACAATTCTTCGTTAATATTAAATTTGGTGTCAATACGACGTAAAAATATAGCCAGTTGTGCTGTATCGCTAATGACGCAACTCTTATCAAGTGCCAAAGAGCAGTATTCGAATTTCGCAATGCATTCACGAAGCGTTGCTGCTATGTTCTCGGACAAGTCTTCAATTCTCCTTGCAATGGTGAATCTTGATGAACTAATGTTTGAAATGATATTATTTTATCAGGAAATGCTATTTCTGCAACAGCAGTCAGACATTCTTTTATCGTCTCTCCATCCGCAAAGGGTTTAATTTTTTTTTTTGCCAATATTTGACTGACAACAAAACTAACCTTTACTGCCGTATTTGATAAAATAACTTGATTTTTAAAAATGGCCTGTTGGTTCACCAAGTTTTTCTCCATTTGATTAAACTTATCTACCCGGAGTTGTCCTGCTAAGTTTTTATCTTGTTGTTCATGTTTTGTAACTTAATGCCTTTTGCCTTTGTATGTTATATTCTTTTAAAGTCGACACAGTCTCTGAGCATGTTAAGCATACAGCTTTATCTTTGACGAAAGTGAAAAAATAATCAAATTTCCACTTTTCTTGGAAATGCCTGTGCTCATCCGCAACCTTCCGTTTTTTTTTTTTTTTGTTTTTTTTTTTGTTTGCTTTTTCGACATGCTATTATGGATTGCACTAATATTGCACTCATGTCTTTCAAGAAACATTAGAATTACTAACAACAACGCGTGTTTCTCGCCAGGAATTGGCTGGTAGAGTGTTTTTATCTGATAGTGTTCACAGACAAGTGTTTCCTCTTCATCCCAGTCCCGCAGTGGACTGATCGTTAAGACACGGTTCCCAGCAGATCACCGAAGTCAAGCATCACTGACTGCGGTCAGTGTGCGGGTGGGTGACCACTTGGATCAGTCTGCGTAGGGACCGAGGGTGTGCGGTATTGGTCCTCGTTTAACTGTTCTACCGTAAAGTGCTCGACTTCGCGTGCAGGTCGTCGGGCTACCGAAGCGGGGGTGCCATCCCCTCTGCAGAGGATCAAAATTGCGATGGCATGTCTTCGGATCATCCTCAGGGATGTTTCCCAGACCGTCGCTAATAGCCCATTGTGCAGCTCTAGTGCGACGTAAATGAACTACAACATCCTCTTCACCCTCACTTTCTAACTGTTGCAAGCCAGTCTATAGGTGGCGCTACAACACAGAGGTGGTTGCAAGTGCTGCCGCCACAGAAGCAAACACAAACAAGCACAGACGCGGCGCGTTCGTATTGCATGTTTGAACAAGTCGCCGACAAGTAAGTAACTCGTCACAAAAAAAATTTCGGTTTAGTATGTATTACCATTCTATTATAATTAATTTAATAACAATATGATGGGAGAAAGTCGATAAAATAAATTCAATTTTAGAAAAGCTTGGTAGGCCGCATAAACATGTTTAACGGGCACACAAGCGGTCCCCGGGATGCGTGTTGCTCATCCCTGAACTAAGATATAAAAAAAAAATAGAGTTTTAAACATTTCTTTTAAATTTCAAGCGTATTTAAGCATTATATTACGGCCAGAAATTTAATGGATATATTCCATCCTGCATTCGTACGGTATTTTTTTAATTTAATTTTTTTTTTTTTTAACCTAAACACAATTGAAATGAAGCTGGAAAAAAATTAGTACTACACTATAGAAATAAACCAAAAATATAAATGATTTTAATAATTTTGTTTAATTTTATACAGGAACTTTTCAGGTCCTGCATGGCACGAAGCAACTTGGATTGAAGAATCAGAAAAGTTGGCTGAATGTTTGAAAAACGATGCCACGATAGACAAAACGACGTACTATCAAGTGAAATACGACAAACCTAAAACTATAATCAAGCGTAATGAAATATGGATGAAGAAAATCACCACTTAAAAGAAGATTAATTTTGTATGAAGCACCTTGGAAATTACCTGACTGAGATGCACTTGGGAGTTTATGAAAGACTTTTACTTGTATGTGAACTACCTCAAATTTTTTATACATTAATCATTTATGTAAATTGTGTATGTAGGCTTGTGATGTGAATTGTCATGTGAATTTAATAAATCGACATTTTAAATAAATGTCGATTTTTGTAAGTTTTTGTTGGTGTTTAATTTGCTGCAATAAGTTTAAAATTAGTCAACGGGGGAACAAAGGATCACACTACTAAAAATTTAAGATCTGTTGGATCTGTATTAAGAAGACTTATAAATTTATCACCTTTGGAGGTAAGCAAATGATTTTATTAAATCAACTTATGGTTGGGGTAGTGAAAACANTAAAAATTAGTCAGAACAAAGGATCATACTACTAAAAATTTAAGATCTGTTGGATCTGTATTAAGAAGACTTATAAATTTATCACCTTTGGAGATAAGCAAATGATTTTATTAAATCAACTTATGGTTGGGTTAGTGAAAACATGGGAGATATGCACAGTCTTTTATTTATATACTTTTTTAACATAATAAAATTTCAAAGTTGAAATTATCTTGTAGCTTATAATATTTGCCCTCTGTTTACACAAATATTTTTTACTTAAATCATAAACTTTGTAAAATTGAAAGCTATGCTTTATAAATAATTTTTTATGAGCAAAAGAACTGGGACAAACCTGTCTTCTAGAGGATAGTTTCACCCACTTTGTTGTTAAGGAAGAGTATTTAAACCAACAAAGCAATAACTAAGTGTCTAAAAACTTTTACAACGATAATTTTGTTTAACGAAACATCAAATCCAATAGTTATTTGCCGATGAGAAGTAAGAAATTTGAAACAAAATTTTTAAAATAAATATTAAGTTTGATTAATATCAAATTGGATGTAATACCAAAGCGACTATGTGATTGTCAACATTCACCGGTGAAAGTCAACAACCACCGATTTCGGTCATTCACAGTAACAAGCACATCTATTACATAATAACCTCATCAGGACGTTTATTTCATTCTTTGCCCAAATAGCATTTGGCATTCTATAGAATGCATAGGCAATGTGCCAAATATAAATCATTTCATACTTTGCCGGCTAGTTTTAGGCATTATATACAATGCCTAGGCATTCTATATAATGCCGGATTTCATACTTTGCCGGTAACATATAGACTAAAAAAAGATGTTTAAACCTCCAGTATTATCAAATTTTCCCTAAAAATGAAATATGTTTAATTTGTAATATTATATTTCGTACACGAAATTCATTTATTTAGCTAGCTTATGATTTCAACTTTTCTCTGGTACTTAAAAATATTTTTGTTCCCGTCTGATTGCTAAGTCAGCAGTCACTGTTTCCGCTTCTTAATCGATCTCTGAATGTAATTTTGATGACCATTCAAAAAATAGAAAGTAATTAAGATTAAATTGTAAATAACAACAATGTCTGTTAGAATAAGATACACTTTAATAAACATTTGATGTTTAACTACTCTTGTGTTGTTTAATTACATTCAATAAGACAAGAGTTCATTCGCAAAACGGTATAAGCAGGGTTAAGTAATAACAGTAAAAAACAGATTTATCAAGCATATGGTTTTCGAATATGTTCAGTTATAACCATCTTTAACATGTATTTTTAAAATTTTTGTAAATAATGAAACTAAAAACTATATACATTAGAAATGAGAAATAATGTTTTTAAGTATGAAGCAAAAACGTTTTTAAGAATCTGACAAATCACTGTGAAGTTTAGTCATAGTGAAGAAACTGAAAAATGTGAAAGGCAATTGTTAGAAATGATACTGGCTTCAATGCTTTTTTCGATGACAATAATCTCACAATTGATTCGTCAGATTTTTTATAACGTTTTTATTTTTAATAAATTCATGACCCTAAATGTGTATATTTTTTCTTCATCTTTGAGCTAAATACATATTTTAGCAGAGGTGATTACAAAGCATCAAGTATATTTCTTAAGCTTTTTATAGCAGCATGATATATTTCAAAAATAATACAACAGTCTAATTTTCCCTTTTCTTCAGCCATACTTCATTCAATCGATTGACTTCAGTCCAAGGACTATCATAAACACTCATATAATAGAAAGTATTATCAACTTTCTTATCATTTGTGGTGGAAGACTTCAGAGTTCCTGCATGATCATCCCACTTTGATTCTTGTCGAATTTGACCTCCAAAGGATCTGAAATAAAAATATTTAATAGATATAGGATAAAAATTGCACTTAGAAAGCGTTAGAGCTGAACGAAAAGTTAGCAAAAAAAAAAATTAAATGAAAAATAGGTGCACTCAAAATCTCGAATAAATTTTTAAATAAGACAGAAACGAAACTAGTGTTATCAATATCTAACGAATAATTATCAAAGTCAATCACAGTGTTGATGGGATGAAAATAAGAACAAACTATTTTATTGGCCAAATAACTGAAAATAAAACTTTTCTGCAGACAAATAATCTATTTTAGATCTCGATGATATCTTAGAATTTTAGTTTTATAATTCGTAAAAAGTGTTTCTAGTTTATTTTTATTTACTCCTGCTTATTTTATTGTGTCATATAACAAATTCTACCATAAACAGAGAAAGAAAAATCTGTATTATTAACATTTTTAGGAATTTATTCCTTATTTTTTAAAAATTAATGGTGCATGTCATATAAAAATGCATTTGATTCAACATTGAAATAATCGGTATTTTCGTATTATCGCGTCTCCCATCTTCGCCAACATCGTGCCAATATCATTTTGGTATCTTTCAGATTTATTTTAATAAAGTAATTGAATATAAAGAAATTTACAAAATACAAATATAACTTTACGCATGCGAAAAAATGAGATTATACATAATATGAAACATTTCTAAATTTATCTTCAGATTCGGTGAAGATGGTCGACGGGATAATGCGTAAGTATCAAATAATAATCAAAAAGAGAACTGGAGGAAACTATATAGGGATATAGGGAGCAACCACACAAGGGTGCATTTTTGCACAAAACAATTCCTCGATATTATTTCCAATTAGATACTTTTACGATGTTCCGACATGCTAACTAGATGGTAGAGCAATATACAGAAAAATCAATGGAAATAGTGGTATTTTTCCTCCAAAAGTGCTCTCCTGAACCATTTGGAAATGTGTTTTATCAGGTTATTGTCACACGCCCTTCAATTTACCTTGTCATATATGTGGTGGCTGGTTCTCTGACGACAGAAACACTAGGATCTGTAGGTTGCGGAGGATTTTCGCTCTGCTCAGGTTTCAATGCAACAGCCATTGTATAATGATTAAATGAGCCTTGGGGGGATTTTGTTGTCCTCACAGGTACAACCATGTCTAAACGCTCACCTGTAACAACAAACATTTAATAGGAATGTATGAAATAACAGAAAATGAAATAGCAGATTACACCAGGAAAAAAAATTCATATTTACAATGTAATCGGTATTGACTGTCGTTAATATACATATTTTTCATTTATTTTCCTTCTTAAAAATAAAGTCAGAAAAGGCTTACACATTAAAACAATATAATTCAATAAGAATCAAACGAATCACTGTAGGGAAAATAGGTAGAGAATAAAAATCGAAACCTGTTTGATTATTGGATGAAACATAGAAGATCTGAGAGACGATTGATAATTATAAATGGTCAAACTGGTTTCGAGGTTTTCTTTTTATCTTCAACGGTAGTGATTCGTTAGATTTCGATATTGTTTTTTTTTCCCGCTTAATATACGATCCTTATGTTCATATTTCTTTATCTTCCCTTTTGACGATTTTAAACACATATATTAAGGGTAGCCACTACGAAACACTCTGAGTGAATATTACAATTACAGATATATAGAGTTACGAATACAGATATATAGGGTTCGTGAAGTTACTTTGAAAAGTAGAGTAAATGTGGCAACTGTGGTATTTATAGGTAGATTATACTGTTGTGATTATCTTAATAGTATATTTGAATCCATTCAAAATTAAAAATTAGGTTTTAGAATTTGCATAAGAATAAATATAAATTAATTTTGAAATTCGTCAAGAATAATTAACAACAAAAAAAAGTTGAAGCCGAAGGAAAAATAATTACTTTTTGATATTACTACTTTTTTATGTACTCACTTTCGTTTCAAATACGGTTAGATCTGCAATTAGATCTGCTCTCCGAGTAAGCAGAGCACTCAAAATCAGACTAACTAGAGAGCTCAAATCTCCTCTGGAGCAAATCTAATAATACAAGTTTCAACCGTTTTTATTTTATTTATTGTCTTTTGTTATCAGATCTCATCACTATATTATCGACGGGTCTGGTTCATTTCATCGACAATCACTTCATCGACAGGCCGTTTCATCGACACCACTTCATCGACAGGCCATTTCATCGACTAGGTCATTTCGTCGACAGGCCGTTTCCTCGACAGGGTCATTTCGTCGNTTCCTCGATATTATTTCCAATTAGATACTTTTACGATGTTCCGACATGCTAACTAGATGGTAGAGCAATATACAGAAAAATCAATGGAAATAGTGGTATTTTTCCTCCAAAAGTGCTCTCCTGAACCATTTGGAAATGTGTTTTATCAGGTTATTGTCACACGCCCTTCAATTTACCTTGTCATATATGTGGTGGCTGGTTCTCTGACGACAGAAACACTAGGATCTGTAGGTTGCGGAGGATTTTCGCTCTGTTCAGGTTTCAATGCAACAGCCATTGTATAATGATTAAATGATCCTTGGGGGGATTTTGTTGTCCTCACAGGTACAACCATATCTAAACGCTCACCTGTAACGACAAACATTTAATAATGAATGTATGAAATAACAGATTATACCAGAAAAAAAATCTTATTTACAATGTAATCGGTAATCGGTATTGACTGCCGTTAATATATATATTTTTCATTTATTTTCCTTCTTAAAAATAAAGTCAGAAAAGGCTTACACATTAGGACAATATAATTCAATAAGAGTCAAACGAATCACTGTAGGGAAAATAGGTAGAAAATCAAAATCGAAATCTGTTCGAAACTGAGAGACGATTGATAATTATAAATGGTCAAACTGGTTTCGAGGTTTTCTTTTTATCTTCGACGGTAGTGATTCGTTAGATTTCGATGTTGTTTTTTCCCCCCACTTAATATACGATTCTTATCCTCACATTTTTTTTTAATCTTCCCTTTTGACAATTTTAAACACATATATTAAGGGTAGCCAGTACGAATATTACGATTACAGATACAATATAGAGTTACGAATACAGATATATAGGGTTCGTGAAGTTACTTTAAAAAATGAACTAAATGTGGCATCTATGGTATTTATAGGTAGATTATACTGTTGTGATTATCTTAATAGTATATTTATTATTAAGAATCCATTCAAAGTTAAGAATTAGGTTTATTTGCGAAAGAATAAATATAAATTAGTTTTGAAATTCGTCAAGAATAATTAACAAAAAAAAAAAAAATTGAAGCCGAAGGAAAAATATTTACTTTTTGTTATTACTACTTTTTTATGCACTTACTTTCGTTTCAAATACTGTTAGATCTGCAATTAAAATGTCAACCACTCTCCGAGTAAGCAGAGCACTAGAATTCAGACTAACTAGAGAGCTCAAATCTCCTCTGGAGCACTGTATCTAATTATACAAGTTTCAACCGTTTTTATTTTATTTATTGACAACTGTTATCAGATCTCATCACTATATTATCGACGTAACGGATTTATCGTCCGAAATTCAACTATTAGTATAACATTTCTACCACTTTTTGACTAGTTAAGAGTATTCAAAACCGAGCTGAAACTTTGTGCTTGATGACAATTCAAGTTTCAATCGCTTACTGTCCATTATAATCAGAATTTATGTAACAATCTTAAAGTCAATCAAAATAGAATATCGGATGGGATGGAATTACGATAGAAATTTCAACTATTTCCCGACAAACTAAAGTGCTGAAATTTCAACCGACGATCTGTACTTAACAACAGTGCAAGTAACAATTGTTTCCTAAACGTTTGCAATTAAAATTTGTCATTTCATGGCCAATTGAAATTTCGACCACTTTTCGATATAAAAAAATTAACTGTAACTAAATTAAAAAAATAAAGTACATAAAATCAAATAAAAAAAATTAACACGACTGCGCTTTTTAGATTAATTCATAAGTAGACCCAAAAGAGAAAATAATTCTATATTTATCATATCAAAAAGAAAAACGTAAGTGAATCACTTTCGTTACAAACTTCGATCACCATCTTTCGAAACCTTCTTCGTGTTTTAAGTCTAACAAAAATAAAATTATCTTCTCCTTTAAAAAACGGTATTTTTAAAATTCTTATGAAACAAACCTCTTTCATTTTCGCCACCCAAATATGCATAGAGCTTCTTAATGAGTTTTCTGGATACATCTGCTTTACTCTTGGCATTCTCACTAGCGCTCACCCAAACAAGTGAAGGGTACCTTCTTTCTTCGTAATCCTATACCAGAATAGAAAGAAAGACAGATACAGTAAGAGTTATTTATTATAAAATTACCAGATGACTCGAAAATAACCGATAATTTGACTTGAAGATCAAAAGCTAGAAGGTAAACAATTTGCTGCATTTGTTTATGAAAAAAGATTTAAATTTCAAAATGAGTAACAAAGCTCGATTGTAGATTGCACTGCTAACCCAAAATCTATAAAACAATATTCTTTTCTACCTGTTAGAACATTCAAACTAAAATATTTACACTGGTACTGTTAGGTTGGGGCCGTGTACAAAAAAGGAATTAACAGAAAAGTAAATATAAAAAAATTCGTACCAACAACAAAGCACATGTGCCGCTATAACCCATCCAAGGCAACTGGTGAAGTATTACATTTTACAAACCCAATAACAATAGACTTAGACTGTTCTTTACATACCTCTCTTCAGAACAGGTACCTAGAGCAGGAGCTTGAGTCAATTGTTTCGAAAATGAAGACACAAAATCTAGGAAGCACAATATACCTTGTTTTATTTACTTTAAAAAAAACATCGATGAACTGTCAGGCTTTCATCCTCGCCCAGCTGGTACATGATTTGGAAAAGGAATAGGCATTAATGGTGGACATCTTAAAATGGACAGCTTCTTAAAAGCACATTCGGAGTATCAAAAATCTCTCGAGAAAACAAGGAACGGGGAGAGAATGTAAAAATAATTTTAACACAGGAGTTGGATGCCGCTGGAGTCATACTTCTCAAAATCTACCCTCGGCAGATTTATACTTTAAGAAAATCATGGCGTAGGAAAATGCTATCACATCCGGACAGCGAAAGCACCCACGAGGGGGTGGCAGAAAGAAAAATGAAAAATCCCTGTTAAGGGATCGTAGTGTATTGAGTCATCACGTGCTCGAATGCACCCATGCTCCCAAAAATGGGCGGTATTTATATCAACCGCTTAAAGATCGAAGTTAAACTACCTAAAACGCAGCAGAATCGTGGCTAAAAGGGGAACCGAAGTGAATTGATGAACCGCTTAAATATAATCACAATTATGCACTAACTGTGACCATAACGGACCATCTCCCATGTGCTCACATCAAAGGCTGCCGAAGGTCAACACCATGAAGGTCGACAGAGTAAGGCGTCAAAGTAAGGCGTCAAAGAAGAGGGGTCAGGGGTCGGCCTAATTTTTAGGTCACAATTTTATTAGAAAATTGTGATTAAGTGACACAATGTCACAGGTACACTAGTTAGTTTTGTCCTCGGACTGCACTGCACCATTGTTGCGGATCAATGCTTTTTAGTTTCTTTCATTAAACAGCGCCATCTGCTTAGCAACTTTGTAACTGATTTTAAAACTTGAAGAGAAGAAATTGTTTGGTCTCCTCAGAAAAATGCAGCGTTTCTATCTCCTTTTTTTTTTTATTGATATTTTAAATCTTTTGTCGAAATAGTTTGTAATTTTGGCGCCATCTGGTACTTAAAAATTTTATTTGCAAAAATATGTAAAATGCCGAATGTGGAATTCGTATCGACCAGCCATCGCTGGGATTCGAACTCGGGTCATCTCATTGAAAGGCGAACGCTCTATCCCCTGAGTCATCACGGCTCAATTGCACTTATTTCAATTTTTTTTTAATTTTATAACCATCGTTGAACAGCCGACCCAATTTTGAGTTCACGATCACTAATGTTCAACTCCGTAGCTTTGTAATTTTGAACCCAATCCAGGAGACAAAGAAACTCCTGGATCAGTAACCCCAGATGTATGATTTGTTATGGGAACATAGAGGACTTGGTGAACTGAAAGATTTAACGTGCATAAGTCACCATTTACTACACGGGGAGTTTTCGACCGGCAGTGATCTAACCCACGACCTCTTGGACATGGGTCCAATGCCCTACCAACCTGGCTATCCCAGCCTAATTGTACCAATTACCAAAATTAGTTAAGTATCATTGTGGCGTTCATAATAATATAGCAATTTTTTTATAGTTCTCCTAGACAAATAAGTACAGGGTGCCAAAAAAAACGGACCACCCTGAATAACTTTTGATGTAATGATCGGATCTTCACATTATAGGACTTAATCTTGATGGTTCGTGGGGGTGGCCTGAAATATGTTAATTAATTGGTGCCGATGGTATTTTAAGTTACGAAATCAGACACAAAGCGTACTTTCTCTGAATAAACTTACCTTCTTTTCAATGGATTCGGATTTTTGATCCCCAAAATATAGGGGGCAGCCGTAATCTGGGAAATATGGTTCCCATAGGTGGATCAGAAAAGCTGTCCAAAATTCGAACCACTTAATGTTGATTTTACTTTTTGCGTACCTTGCGAACTTTTTAAGGGAATGGAAAAAATTTTGCACACAATTAAGTCCGTCTATCCAAATAATAATTTCATTCAAAAAAATAACTTGAGTAAATATTAGTTATTTTTATTATTTTATTAAATATGATCCAAAAATATTTAAATTGTAAGATATACAATTATTTAAGTCATTTTAAAGTATGTAATTTTACATAGCAAAATACAAAATCTGTGCAAAATCGGTAGAATAATTCCTGAAAAATCGAATTTCGAATGTAAGACTCTTTCAAAATTCGATTTCTAATAACGTTGTTGGCGTGTTTATCTTATCGGCAAAAAAAAATAAATAATAATAATTAAAGAAAGAAAGAATCGCGGGATCAACAAACGATTTGGAAATCTTTGGCTGTCATCAGCTTCAAATTAAAAATTATAAATGAATTTAGCAGCAAATATTTTTTTCCCTTGTACTTTATTTAACAGCATTTTTATTCTGTTCAATAGAGATGTTCAAATTAGAGGCTGAACTAGATCGGTGCTTCACTATCATTCAGTCAATTTCCGTTTGCACGATTCCTATTGGACAATTCGTATTCCTATCCCAATAGAAACGTATTTCTATTGATTGCATCTATAACTGATTGTCAGCTCAGACATATCTGTTTTTATTAGAGGTATTTCATACATATTTATCGAAGTTTTCTTCAATTATTTTTATCTATTGTACTACTTATACATAACTTACCTTGAATCTATGTAAAATGATTTTAAAAAAATATATTCGCAATAAATTATTAAAAGTTCGCTTTAAGTTAAAGGGATAAGAAAACGCTATCGAAATCTGGAAAATCACTACTGAGGGAGACGGAATAGAAAACATCAAAACCGGTTTGAAAACCGTAGTTCAATTTCTGACATCTCTAGTCCTTAGTTGCTATTCAAAAAATTTCTATAGCGTTTTTAAATTTTCCCAGCTCAAATTTTAATTTATGTATGATGATTGTTGATAAAGTTGCATTTCCGAAAGGCTGTAAAATATAGAGACACAATTGTCATAATGAGTCAATAATTTTCCCAACGCTTATTCAATGCCCAATTTTATGTTTGGCTTAATGTTAAAAAATATTACCTTAAAGTTCCATCCTCAACAGAATAAAATTGCTCGGAATTCAAATGACATGTAAACATTAAAAACGCATGCGTGTGAAAAACTTCCATTTTTGCTGGAAAAACCACTGTGTTTTTTTCCAAAAAAACGCTCGAAACTTAATAATACAGATAGAGAAATAAATTTTTTTCAGTGTGGATTTGGAATTAATTGAAAATTTAATGTAAGCAATAAATTGTGTTTCGATACTTTTGCCTACATTTGTTTGATGTGGCGCCTTAAAATTGAATTATGAAATTTAATGATTAATTTTAATGTCATAAAAAAAATCATTTACGACTTCATCACAAGATACACTAAAGCAATTTATTTGTGTAAGAAGGAATCATGCTATATGAAGTATGAACGACAGTTTCATTAAAACTAATTTAAAATTATTACCCAAAACTTTTTAAATGAGTAACAAAGACTTAAATTCCTATTTTTTATTATTATCATTGAATGCACAGAAATTTTTCTGCATTCAAGTAATTCATGAAATTTAAATCAGATAATAGTATACTATCAATTAAGAATAAATAAGCTTCAAGTGCCAACCAGCATTGTTATTAATGTTTTCTTTTTTTCAGAAATAAAAATAAACTGTTTATTTTACTTGTTTTTTAAATAATATAAGCTTCAGCTCTATAATGACATCTGAAATTTATTTTCGGGGGTAGTTTCATATTTGCTCCGAATTCATGAAGATTTAAACAATACAAATGATGTTTAAATTTGTTTTATTTCAAGACCTAAAATTTTACAAAAGTAAGAATTTTTATATTATAATATCCTCTGACAAACAATAAACAGTGCCCAAAACATTGTAATTCTTAGCCCATTGTGAGCCGTGATGGCTCAGGGGATAGAAAGNAAGAGAAATATATATATAGATAAGCTTCAGCTCTATAATGACATCTGAAATTTATTTTCTGGGGTAGTTTCATATTTGCTCCGAGTTCATGAAGAATTAAACAAAACAAATGATGTTTAAATTTGTTTTATTTCAAGACCTAAAATTTTACAAAAGTATGAATTTTTATATTATAATATCCTCTGACAAACAATAAACAGTGCCCAAAACATTGTAATTCTTAGCCCATTGTGAGCCGTGATGGCTCAGGGGATAGAAAGTTCGCTTTACAATGAGGTGATCATGGGTTAGAGTTCCCTTGCCGTCAGTTTAACCGTGGGAGGTTTTAGCTGTTTTCCTCTCCATGTTACGCAAATGTGAATTAGTTCCTTCAAAAAGTTCTCCACGAAGCCAAATTTCTCCCACTACTTGATCCAGGAGTTCCCTTGTCTTCTAGATTGGGTAAAAAATTACAAGACTACTGAGTTGAACACCAATAGTCGTAAGCCCAAAAAATTGTGTCGGCTGATCAACGACAATTATAAAGTAGCCCATTGTGCACCTTTAGTGCGACGTAAATAAACAGCAACTACAAGAAACGTGACATTAGCAATCTTTGTTAAAGGCCCACCCACCACGACATGATGCTGCTAAACGAAGAAAATATCTGTTTTTAGCTGTCTCTAGACTAAAAACTTTAGACAATGCGTGAGTTCATTAGCAGAGGCAAATACTTCAATGATAGAGTAGTACAGGAACTGCATGTTTCTGTCCTTTCATGACAAGAGTAAAGTGTGCATGCTTAACATTAGTTCTCTGAATAAAACCTTTAATATCATCATGTCGAAAATAGCATATATTTTAAAGTATTTAAAGCAATCGTTTTTGATATCTTATGACAAATTCAATGCCATCTATCGGTCAGTTTTTGAGCTGTGTTTCTTTCTTTAGTGATTTTTTTCTTACAGCCTTTTAAAAATCCCACTCTAATTATAATTACCCTGTACTTTCAATTTAGTTAGGTAATGCAGACGCAAATAAGCTCGGCGGCGGGAACACTGGGTGCTGTTTCGTGCTTCTAATAAATCTACCCGATTTATCAAAGCCATAAAAATAACTTAAAATTCTGAAATAAATAACTGCGTTCTATCAAAAGAACCATTTTATTATAAAACTTTAGAACAACAATCTTTTCACGTTGCCACTCAAAATTATTAATATACACTCGATAATATTGCGTTAATGATAATATTACATTTTTATATACACTTTTAACTAATGACGTCATAAATAATCCTTTGCATAAAGTTTAGTTCATAATAATCATATATAATCGCTGCATAAATAATCGTTTGGTCTTTTTATAGCTTTACATAACAGGTGCAATTCACTGTCAGCATCGTAAAGTAAGAAATAAAAAGGCAAGGAAAAGAACTTACCTCATGAGACTGAATTACTTCATAATCCAAACAACGCACACCATTTCTCATACATGAGTCACAAGATATAAACGCTACCAACAAAATCTGAAAAACAACAAGATGCTATCAAATGTCTCCTATGTTTCTGAAATCATCACATGCTCTTATGTAAAAAAATTACCAGTCGTATAAATAAATGAATGATTTGAAGAAATTAAAGCTGATACCGTGGGAGAAATACTTATTCCTGACACACATATTTTAGAAAACTGTTAACTAATTTTGATATTTCTTTTTATAGCTGATTACCTTTGCCGACCAGTTTAGTCGTTTGTACAAACTCGCCTTCACAGCTTCTAATTACACGGTATGGCATTACGGTAATATGGCATTCCAATAACTAACAAATAAAAAGCAACCTCGTGTGTTATTAAATTCATAACTTTAACTTTTAATAAAAAGTGGAGCTCCGAGATATGTGTATGTGAACAGTTTAAGGTCATTATTCCAATGGTCAGCAAACCACCCTCAAATCTAGAAAAAAATCACTAGTGGCTCGCAAGTCACAATTTCTCGACCTCATCTGACTAAGCCAAAGATTAAACCTCATTTTCAAAGTGCACACTGCATAACTGGAATTCATACAAAATTCAATAAGTCGTACAGAAAAGTCTACAACTGAGGAGATGTACCTACAATACTAAATCGTTTATACTAAAAATTATTTCTGCATAAATTTTCGAGAAAATAATGAGAAGACTGTAAAAGCTATTTGCTATTTCTATCTATCTAATGAAGTGAGATTCTATAAGTTTCTATCCCGTGAAAGGTATTTTAAGAACACATTGAAAACTAAAAGGAATTAAAAAAAATATTTAAATTTATGAGTTTGTTGTCTTTTTATTACATTATAATATTATGTTAGTAATCTTATCATTGACGCTCCATCTTAATTCTTAAGATAACCTCTACTATTCTGGTAAACAATTTTTCACATTTTTTAAGAAGGATATTTGCTATTAATAGTGGTGATGAAAAAGATGTGATGAAATAATTATGCGATAGGTGTTGAAATAAGAATTAAAGAAAAATAATTTCTTTTCTTTATTTAGCCATTTTTTCAGAAACATACCTTTCGATTATCAGATTGTTTGCCGTGAGGACTAAAGTTACTCGAAATCAAATTTATTAGGCCAAAAATCAAATGATAGCTACCGCTAGAATAACCTTCTTGAAAAAGCGCAAAAGTTAGTAGCACTGGATATATACTTGTAGATAAAAGAGATGTACCTGGTATCCGGCAATATACAGTTACCTAATTAAAACTACGTGTCCTATGGTTTTACATAAAGAACATATCCAGAAAATTTCACAAAATCAGAAATGCCAAGTATCCAACCTTGCCCGATTTTTGAAAAAACTAGATCTTTAACTTCATCATAGTGATATCAACGCTAAACCAAGGAAAGAAGCGGCCCTCATTTACATCTCTTATGTCCAATATTCGTATTTGCGTCAAAGAAAAAGTAGAGAGTGACTTTTTAACTGAGTAAAATGGATAGTAAAGTATGTACAGGGCCGTTTTATCCATTAGGCACTGTAGGCAACTGCCTAGGGGCCCCGCCACTTTCAGGGGCCCTGTGCTACAGAGAAAAAAATTTACGATGTTTCTTAAACAGTAAAAATTTAATTCGAAATTTCAATGACGATTGTCTTGCTCATCGACGCTATTTTAGTACATTTCTGAACGCATTCCAAATTAGATATTAATATTATGGTAGTTAGTTCATATATAACGCAGTAATATAATCGCAAGCAATTTTATCGCGGTAATTTTAACGCCGACTAATCAGATGACTGTACAGCAAGAGCAGATCAGTCGCATCAAGAATTCAAAAC